AATCCAAATCTTTCTTTAAAGTATTGCTATTGAAAATTAAAATAATTGATATTAATATAAAGCAGTAGTTTAAGTTGCTTTTGACACGTACATTTCAAGTGTATTGTTTCTGTCTTTGACATGTGGATTGAGGGAAAAGATTGTGTCCAAAACAAATAACAGGGTATAGTTATTGGTTTGTCTTTATAGTCCTCAGGAAGATATGAGAAACTATTGCAAATTCCTCTAAGATTGTTGTGAGCACCATCAAGTCCAGTTTCAGCTTCCTACCACAACATCACAGCAATTTCTTCATCTGAACTTTTGCCTAGTGTTAGAGAATTCCATGTTTTACATTTATTGCTTTGATTCACTTTGACAATAACCAACATTTCAATGTCTTGCTTTCTTCCAGACTGCTGATGAAGGTTCCACTATATCCTGTGTTGTGGAGCGTACAAGGGGAGCCCTAGACCATGTGTATATAAATTACATTATCTCACAGGTTGATTCCACTGGCATTAATTACTCTGTTACCGATTTTTCTAACAGCAGTGGCACTATCACATTCCTTCCTTGGCAGAGATCAGAGGTAAACCCTACCTTCCTATTAACTATTCATCCTGTCCTTTGCAAACCTGCTGGAAAATACCTTCTGGGGATGCTTGACGGGTTTTCATACTAGACTGTGTCCTTCACATGGTTTTTGTTATATTTTGCAGGGTTTTTCTCATCCCTGACAACTAACAAGTGATATGATAGATGCTTATACATCTCTGTGTATCTTGGTTCAGGGGTCACCATGTGTGCATGTATGTCTGAATGCATATAATACATGAAATACGTTCACATATATGTATATATTAGATTAATGTATATATATAGAATTACTTGAAGTGTAGATAGTCCTGAGCTGAAACAGCTACTTTTGAAATTGGAAAATGATCAAGTTTTTACGTGAATTCTGGAACTCAGATTTATGTCCACATCAATTAAATAGACAGCAGTAAAGTTCACTGCTGTAATCAAGTGTCTTGCATCCACTGTTGGTCACGTTCTGACCCTTTTGTCCAATCTGTTTCTGTAAATTCAATCCTGACCCACAGCACAGGAATTTCACATTTATCTGAAGAGGTGTGGGACCACAATACTCTAGAAAGTTAATGTGTGTTTTCTGTCCATGTTTGTAAAATAGAAGGGCTGAATTGTTAGTAGAAAATGCTGTCCTTGATTTCACTTTTATCACTGTGCTGAGATCAGTATGGACTGACTGAAACCCGCTGACAACATTTGAAAGGATCCCAGTGGCTCCGTTAGCTGTAAGTTGGTTTTGGAATGCATATTCTAAATGCAACATACTACACTAGAAGGTAGGTTAAATTATGTGGAGAGCAAAAATTTTTTCTACATTACATTCTTAACTACACAGCAGATACATCTGACTGTCTAACCAAAGAATTTGTTGAGTTAAGCAGGGTCGTGAAACTTATAAGTGATGTATGACGCACAGTTTGATTTCTCCATGATTTGGTCCTTCTCTAGGTCTTAAATTTGCATGTAATTGATGATGACATTCCGGAGTTAAATGAATATTTCCGTGTGACATTAGTCTCTGCAGTGTCTGGAGATGGAAAACTAGGTTCAACTCCTACCAGTGGAGCAAGTATAGATCCAGAAAAGGAAACTACTGATATCACCATCAAAGCCAGTGACCACCCATATGGTAACAACGATGGAGATGATACAGTCTTCTTGTGGATAATTATATAGTTCCAGCTCAACAGATAAAACCTTTGCTTAGCCTTGCTAGTTGAGGAAGCAATGCCAAGTATTCCACTTTATCTAATTTGAGATTAATGCATAACTTTAATACGAGAGTGAAAGCTCAGTTAGTTACTCTTGAGAATGTTATAAAAGGCATCAAAGCTGCCCTGACCAAATAGGCAGTGATTCACTTCTGAGAGTAAATAAAGGATGCATGTAGTTAATCCTGTGCAGGTTTTTCTCAGTTGAGAATTCCTAATGGAGATGTATTTTTGCATGTCTATTATATCAATAAGTGCCTGATACTATGACATATTGTGGCTCTTATGGGAAGAGCTGAATTCATTATTGTGCTGTGACTTTATCAAGACTGATATGGATATCAGTGGGAGAGAGGAAGGTACATAACACATCTACTCTGCCCTGGTGAGACTGCATCTGGAATATTGCTTCCAGTTCTGGGCCCCTCAGTTCAAGAAGGACAGGGAACTGCTGGAGAGAGTCCAGCGTAGGGCTACAAAGATGATCAAGGGAGTGGAGCATCTCCCTTACGTGGAAAGGCTGAGGGAGCTGGGTCTCTTTAGTTTGCAGAAGAGGAGACTGAGAGGAGACCTCATTCATGTTTATAAATATTTAAAGGGTGAGTGTCACGAGGATGGAGCCAGGCTCTTCTCGGTGACAAACAATGATAGGACAAGGGGTAACGGACACAAACTGGAACACAGGAGGTTCCACTTCAATTGGAGAAGAAACTTCTTCTCAGTGAGGGTAACAGAGCCCTGGTCCAGGCTGCCCAGAGAGGTTGTGGAGTCTCCTTCTCTGGAGACATTCAAAACCCGCCTGGACGCCTTCCTGTGTAACCTCATCTGGGTGTTCCTGCTCCGGCAGGGGGATTGGACTGGATGAGCTTTTGAGGTCCCTTCCAATCTCTAACGTTCTGTGATTCTGTGATAATATATCCTTGGAAATAGCATGGTTGAGTTCCAAAGGCATATAAATATAAAAAAATCAGGAACTTTAAATATAAGTATTACAAATAATTTGGTTTCAGTTTATTATCATAATTTAAATTTGGTGCTAGAAGCTATGCGAATAGTCTCTCTTGTCTGCCAGGTCTACTGCAGTTCTCGGTGGGGCCTCCTCCTCAGCCAGGTGATGAAATGACTCTGCCAGCCTCTTCTGTGCCCCATATTACTGTTAAAGAAGAAGTTGGACACATCAGATTACTGGTGGTTCGTGCACAAGGCCTTCTTGGAACAGTTCTGGTGGAGTACAGAACCGTGCCACTTACAGCTTTCAGTCCTAGAGATTTCCAGGTATGGCCATTGCCAAAGTGTGTAATCATTTTAGAATTTAATTAGAGTTATTTGCCCTGGAGATAGCCTTCAGTTTGAGTATTTTAGCCCAGCTGTGATTCTTTTCACAGAAACACTGTGTTATTTATGGTGACGTGGTAAATAAATGTGTAATACTCACTTTAAAAAGTCTATATAATTATATGCGACTTTGACCTCCTTTCTATGGAGCGTGTTTTATTTCCTAGGAAAAGCCTCTGGTTTTGATTTTTTTCCTTAAAAAGGATTGGCAGTGCAGCAAGAAGGGATATTTGCTATTGTTGCTGAGCGTATCAAACTTTACATGAGCATTCAGGTGCATGTAGGGGATAAGATTAAGTTTGTACGTGCTGGGATGTGTACATATTTAACAAAATAACCTGTAGGTACCTGTAACTGCTTGTCTAACTTATATTTGTGCAGAAAAATGTAGATGCTCGTAATTCTGTGAATTTTGATGCTTTTTTTCTCATAACAAATATTTAGTTGATTTTTTTAGAGAAAAAGAAAAAGAAAAGTAGATGATTTGACAAAAACAAAATCAAAGTTCTGTTTCTTTTTTCGTATGGATGAAAACATTAAACTTGAACAGAAATGAGAAGAGCTTTCATATTGCAGGCTGTTGTGGGCACACTGGAATTTCAGCCAGGAGAAAGATACAAGTACATCACAGTCAACATCACTGACAATGCTATTCCTGAATTGGAAAAGACTTTTAAAGTGAAGCTGTTGAACCCAGAGGGAGGAGGTAAGGCACAAACACCAATCCATTGGTTGTGTTTTCATGATCTCTACTCATCATTGAAATATTACCTTTCTTGGGTGCACAATTTCCATGTCATTTCCAAAGACAAACACCCCCACTTCCCCCAGACAACTGTAATTTTTCTTAGAAAAGAATGGTTCTTCAACTGTCTTGTTAAGTATTGCTGGAAACCACCAGATCCCAAAGACAGTGCATTATTGCCATGCATTAGGTCATAAAGAGGCAATCGCTGCTTTTCACATTAAGTAATTTCAAGGTTGGTAATGAGAATTAAAATAATGTAAAATTTTATCTTTTTTTTTTTTGTCAGAAAACTTACGGACAATTTTAGTAATTCACCGGGGAGATACCCGCTTAACTAAAACCTTTTTGGCCTTTTCAACAATATTGCAAGCACAAAAATAAAGTCTCCATTATTTAGGCTTTCTGCAGATGTTTCCAACTTTTTGACACACGATGTTGCTTTGTGAAAGAACATTAGAATAAGGGATTTTGGGGGTTTATAGGGATATTATTATTTTGGGGTATATAGGGTTTTTTAAATGCACATTTCCAATTACTCCATGACAGACCTCATTTAGGAGTGAGAAAGGGAAATAAAAGGGGACACAAACAGGAAAAGACAGGAAAAGGAAAACAGAGCTGTATGTGTTTCCTTTCCTTCTGATCTCCCATTGCTATTTCCAGTGCCAAAAATTAAATAAGAGGTGGCGTACACAATACTTTTTTCTGGCCTTTATCAGAAATCCTGTATACTTTCATACCCAAAATTGGTGCCTTCCTAGAATACCTCCCTGTCTTTTTGTGTTGTCCAGAAATGTTTAAATTACTTTCTGCTTTCTCTTTATTTATAAATGTATATCTGTGTATATATCTGTATGTCTGTCATCTTAAAGTTGCTGAGCTCTTTAGAAATGATGACAGTGGTAGTGGTGATGGAAACATGGATTTCTTCCTTCCAACTGTCCATCAGCATGGTAAGCATTTTTGATTAATCCTGTCTTTTATTACTAGCTATAATATCTCTCATAAATAACTGTACTGTCACAGCTTGCCATAGTGTTACTTTACTTGCAGTTACAGGTGATTAATTTAGATTTATCATAAAGTTCTGTCAAAATGTTCTTTTCTATTTTAATTTAGTTATAATTTCAATAGCAGTGTTTAGTGTAGCACAGAAAATAACAGCTACTATACCCTCAAAACTGTGTTGTTGTAATACACAGTATAATAATTACAGAAGTACAGTTGGAAGATTAGTTTTGTTTGAAAATTGTCAAGTTTTCTGGAGAGCAAAAAGCAAAGAAACCTTTCAAATTGAAGGTAATTTTAAAATTACCTGACTGTGTGCTTCGATTTGTGCTTTATGTTACTTTGGTTCTCTACATGTGAAAAGTACTCTTGAAGAAAAGTAACCTGTGTTTTTTGAAGGAATATTTTGATTGGTTTTCATTTCTTCTCTTGAAGTTGTATTTGTGTCATAACATACAGAAAACAAAGATAATTTAATACTGAGAAAATTTTAAAAATACTTGAAGCAGAAATAACATAAAATCTGAGAGAAAACCCTAATTATATAGCACTTCAAATTGAACCCCACAGACCTGAGAATGTTGTATCAGCACCCATTATCCGGACTGAATAATTTATTCCCCTGTTACAGCCTGATTTTCAATTTTATTTGTAAATGCAGAGGATTTTGGTCTGAATCTGAGAGTAAGTCTGTGGTTTAGCCACATTTTGGAGCTTTCTGGGTTTATTTTGAAGTGCTGTTTCCCTTTTCCTTGTTTCCAGAGGTGGTTTTCTTAAGTGCCAGGCTCTTTCTCTCTCTGAGCAGCAAGTTACCTCACCCAATACCATCTTGAGAGCAGCAGGATTTACTGGACTTGTTTTTTTCTTTGGCTTTTTTTCTTTTCCATAGTAGGTTGAGTCCTGCATTCATCCAGTCTACCTGCTTACACTGTGGTTTTCCATATAACTCCCCACCATCCTAAATTCTGCTCCATTTTCAGTTATTAAACCTGTAATTTTATTTCCGTTCCTCCCTTAAAATATTAATATTTTTTGTTGCTGTTGTTGTATAGTTCCATAGAAGGGCTGCCAGGACTGCATTGTTGAAAGTCAGTTCCTTATCCATGTGGGTAGTTATCATACATTTCAAAAACCTAAAAGCCAAACAGCACAGGTACTCCAGGCATGCTCTCCTGTGTAATTTTTGTAACATGTTTCTTTAGTTGTTTTCTTTCATGTAAGAAAAGATAATAGAAAAATAACCCTTTTTTGAACTTGCCCTTAACAGCTAGCTTGGGAATTGCATCCCACATCCTTGTGACTATTGAGGCTTCTGATGATGCTCATGGTGTGTTTGAGTTCAGTGCTGAGTCGCTCTCGGTCAATGGGACTGAGCCTGAAGACGGAGACAGCAATATTGTGCTGCAGGTTAGAACATTGCTTGCATTTTAACCCATTATGTCAATGTCTCTGCTTAATTCTGTCTCATACTTTTACGTTTTTCTTCCTTGTAGAACAAAAATATGCAGATCTTTATATTTTTCACTTAGGTTGTGAGAACGCATGGGGCCTTGTCTCAGGTGACGCTGCACTGGATCATAGTCTGCGATCTCACCAAAGACCTGATCTCTACAGATGGCAATGTAACGTTTGACGTTGGCCAAGCGAGAGCAAATATTACAGTACAGGTTTCTCCTGATGAAGTTCCTGAATTGGATAAGGTGTTTTCAGTTTTGATCATCAACGTCTCCAGTGGTCGTCTCGGAAATCGTACTAACGCAACATTAACTATTTTAGCTAATGATGACCCGTATGGAGTCTTCATCTTTTCTGAGCAAAACAGACCAATAAAAGTTGAGGAAGAAACCAAAAACATTTCCTTGACAATAATAAGGCGTGGTGGTCTCCTTGGTACAGTAATGGTAACATACAGAACTTTTGGTGATGATGAAAAGTCACCCTTTCTGCCACCTGATGTTGTTAGAGCAATAGAGGGGAAAGACTATATACTCATCACAGGATACGTGGTCTTCACAGCCAACGAAAGTGAAGCCACAATATATTTGCCTATTTTGGATGATGATGATCCTGAGAGGTCAGAATCTGTTTTTGTAGAGCTAAGCAGTGTTGTTTTGATCAAGAAAGCTCAGGATCGGCCAAGTAAGTATCTTACGTATGTAAAACCTTCAGTTTAAAGTTGAAGGCTAGTATTTATGTTTAGTAGGGTAAAATGCAACAAGTTAAATTGTAAATGCTGAAAAACTATGTAGAGTTAAGAAATCTCTGGGTTACCTGTCTTGTGTGCCATTGACATATGTTTCCTCTAGTGAAGTGTTTTGTCAGAGATGGATGAGCATTTCTGTATCCCTTGAGCATCACCTTATCCAAGGTCTTTCAAGCCAAATATGTTACAGTGTTGGATTTGTGCACTAATAGTTGTTCCTCTAGTGTTGCTTCTGTCAATTTCAGTGTTAGGAAATTTATCAGGAGCCAAAGAAGTATTTTAAAAATAAAGTGGTGTAGAACTACAGTCACACATTTTTAGCATGGAGAATGTTTCCTTCATCTCTTATTCAGAAAAATTCAGGTTGTTACAGCCTAATTTGTGTTTCAGAGCTTCTTGGCATGTCTAATTGCTTCACTCACCCTAGATTAATCTTGATATTAAGGAAAGCTTTATAATTCTGCTGGGATGTTGAAATCTTTTATATATCTATATATATATGTGTGTGTGTGTGTGTGTATGGATATATATATTTACACAGCAAGTGTAAAAATGAAATTCTTCTGAACTGTATTGATCTTACTACTGGCCTTATGAACAAATAGAAATAAGCAAATTATTTCACAGTACCTACCTGTTTAAAAAATTACTACTTGTCTGTTCCACAGCAAGGTAGCATAAGTTATTAAAAATTGCAATTGTTTTGCTGTAATATGGTTCAAACTCTAAATTTATGCTGGTGCAGCTTGTAAATATACTTTGTCCATTCTAAAAAATAATTTTGTTGAAAGCTAGTGGAGACTCACCTTTAAACTAACATGTATGTGAACTCTATAGCCATAGATAGCAAGCATCTCAGGCACCCTCTCACTAAGTTTTCTTTATGTTTCAGTTGTAAATTCTCCTCGACTTGGATTAGTGGGTGAGACAATAGCTCATGTAATTATCAATGCCAACGATGATGCTTTTGGAACACTTCAGCTTTCAGCTTCAACTGTGCGAGTTGCTGAAAATTATGTTGGACCAATCATTAATGTGACCAGAACTGGGGGATTATTTGCAGATGTTTCTGTGAAATTCAAAGCTATGCCAATAACAGCGACAGCTGGTAAGAAATTCGAATAGCAGAAGCATGCAGTCTGTGTTCAAGTGGAGAAAGCACACTGTATGCTTTGAGCACTCAAAGCAAACAAGTGTGTATTGAATGCACTGTTGTGTAACAAGTACAAAAAAGTAGTGAGACGTTTACTGACTGCTTAGCACATAGGAATCCAAGCCCTATGGGTAAGATCATGCATTGACCTTTAGAAAGCCCTGAGACGTCATCGCTGAAGAACCTAGCAAGAGAAATGAGTGAAGGAATTGGGGTATTTGTTTCCATCGTAGACCACTACCTCTTAAAAAAAAGGAAAATAAATAAAAATAAAAAATATTAGTAGTATATGTAGCTACTATTTAGTACTGTGTACATAAGTAAACTCACCATGGATTGATTAGGTGAGCTTATTGTAGAGGAAGTGAGAGTTGGGGACTCAGCTGCAAAACAAACAGGCAGAAAACCATCAAAAAACCATCAAAACCCAAGAAGGCTTGAACTTCTAAAAGTGGGAGGTTAAGTTTTCCAGTTGGTCCTGCAGTATGGAAAGAAAGTACATAAAGAAAGGAGCAAAATTAAGAAGTGTGCAGGTTCAAAACCACTTAGGCATTTATAAATCAAACCCACTGTATTTCAGCTGTGTCCAGAATCGAATAGGTGAGTGGTACGTGCTCTGAGAAATGGTATTTTAGTTTACTTGTCATGTAACAGACTTGTTTAAATAAGTGTATGGCTAGAGTGATGTCAGACTATGCTTTCAGTTTCTTTCTGAAGCAGAGCCATTATCACAGTTGCTCATCAACACAAGTTTCCCTAAAGTGAGGTCCACACACAGAATGTGCTTTTTACTAAAATCTGCTTTGACAAAGATGCTTCTGTTCACTTTTATCTTTTGGAAAGCCAGAGGCAATTAGAAACCAAAGGCAGAAACTTCTTGGTAGTGTGACCTTGTCAATATAAGACAAAAATGGACTTTTTGTAACTAACTCTTGGTCTAACAGTGCAAACTCTGTTTTGGCCAAGTCAAGTTTTGTTTTAATCCATCCAGATATCTGGAAGGCAATGGGAAATAAAAAAGACTCTGTTGTCTGAAGATAAAGGAAAAAAACCTCATGAAAACATGGAGGAATGCATGTGTAAGCTAAAAGAGAAGATAAGGATTGCTGATGTTGTTCAATACACTGAACCTTAGTGCATTAATTTGCTGTGATTTTTATTGTTTGTGGTTTTCCTAATCTACAAATCTAGGTGAGGACTACAGTGTAGCCTCTTCAGATGTTGTCCTACTAGAAGGAGAAACAAGTAAAGCTGTGCCAATTTATATAATTAATGATATCAATCCTGAACTGGAGGAGTCGTTTTATGTTCAGCTGCTGAATCAAACAACAGGAGGAGCCTTGCTTGGATCTTTGACTAAGGCAGTCATAACCATTGAAGCTTCTGATGACCCATTTGGATCCTTTGGTAAATGAATCTCATTTGCATATTTTCTCTCTTCTGTTAATGTTTTTGCTGCAGTTTTGTGGGTGAGCTGTTACTGGACAGCTGAATAAAAACTCTCAGAATACAAAGAGGAAACCTGGGTGAAGGCAGTAAAAGAAAAAAATAAACTAAATTTAAACACATAATTAAGGGAGTAATGGTGCTTTAATATAACAAAAATGTCTTATTTAGTCAGTTTATATAGCAAGATTTTGGAATCTCCCGATGGAGACAGATGGATTTACAATTTTTTTTTATTTTTACCTGTTCTAAGTGCTGCATTTGTGCAATATGTTTAAGTCAAAAACTGCATTCTAATATCTGTTGCTTAAATACTTTGATATATTTGTTTTACTAGATAATCAGCCAACACAGATTTAAAAATCTGTGGAAATTGAAAAATATGAAGAGAAATATATTTTAGAAATCGATCTGTTTTGTTTGTTGTTTGTTCATTGGTAATTATTTTCCTTGCCTTTTCCTTTGACCACTCTGCTTAATTCCTCTTGTTCCATTTCTTCAGTAGAAGAAGGTAGAGGAAAGAAAGAGAAAATGTCAGAAATAAATAATTCCAGATAGGTAATTAAATTACTTAATTCTTAAAAACTTGAAGTTTAATACGAGGAAGGCTTTTACTTGAAACAATTTTAGATGGAATATGTTGAATTAGTTCTTCAGTTGGTGACATGGGAACTGGTAAAGAGTTTCCTTGCTGGGAATAATTATGAAATTGTTTTATATGAGCTTAGAAACAGCACATGGTAGCTTCTAACCAAGGGTATGTTGGAATATTTCCTATGTAGATGAAAATATTAATAGCTTTTAAATTTGAACCTAATTAAAAGTGATTTACTCGTGAAAATAAATGCTATCAAGTTAAATAAAACAATGCACTTCAGGAGCTGATATATTTACTTTTGGTTTCACTTTTAACGAAATACATCTCTCCATGCTGTACTTCAGTTTTTCAGATTACCGAATTCACTGTGGAAGAGCCTGAATTTGGATCAGTAACCATAAACCTGCCAATAATCCGCAATGCTGGGACACTCGGTAATGTTACTGTTCGGTGGGTTGCTACCATCGATGGGCACCCCGCTGATGCTGACCTGCAGGTTGCTGTGGGTAATATTACTTTTGCCCCTGGGGAAGCCATTCAGATGCTGCTGTTAGAAATCCTGGCTGATGATGTTCCAGAAATAGAAGAAGTAAGTAAAGCTGTTGTGTCTTTCTTCAAAGTATTAGAGTTTAACTTGCTATAGAAATGTGTGCAAAGACAAACAAGGAATATTCTGATAGGAAGGTGTAAGAAGTTCATATTTTAATTTGCCTGTGATTATTTTTAGAAATACCAAAAGTTGTTTAGCTGCATTATTTCTTTTTTCTTTTTTCTTTCTTTTTGAGATTGTCCGTGTAGAATTAACTCAGGCCTCCAATGGTGGTGCTATTGGGTTAGATGGCGTGGCAAATATTGTAATACCTGCCAATGATAATCCTTATGGCACAGTTTTCTTTCATCAATCCTTATACCGAATTCAGGAGCCACTAGAAAGAAATTTGCTTGCAAATATAACAGTCAGGCGAAGGTTTGTATAATGTTTGCTTTATTTATGCCTATTATGTTTTCTTTTGTTGTTTTTTTTTGTCTTGGCTGTAATTTCAAATGTCATGCTCCTCTTGTATATGTAGTTACATCAATTTCTTGATCTGCTGTTTGAACACAGTTTTATTTCATATACATTGCTTTTGAACTAGATGTCTGCTTATTAGAAATGTACATGAAGTACTTAAATGTAATACACATTTGTAATATACAATGTAAATCTAATGTACACAGTGTACTCGAAGCTTCATTAATTGTCAAATCATTTAAAGCTGCACAACAGCCTGCTCCTGTGATTAGAACTGAAGGGCAGAACCGGTCATCCCTTGTGGGATGTAAAGAAACAAGAAAAGAAAACCAGATTTTATTTATGTGATAAGATATCCTGAGGACACCCAGGAGGGAAAGATGGCAAGGTTGGGGAGCACAGGCTTTTTCTTTCTTGCCAGCCATTAGAAGACAAAGTTAGTTCCCAGAAAATGCTGTTTGCAAACACACGTTCTTAACAGACTGCTATAAATAATCAAACTTGCTATCTGCAAAAAATTGACGACTCAGTTATTATGGTACTAGCTTCAAGGGAATCTACTTTAATTAGCTATTTGGAACTTTTGAGCAATTCAGAAAGGGCCAGTTGATTTTGTTCACTTTTATTTTTAACCCATACTTCATCAACTAACACCACTTTTTAATTTTAATTTAGTGGGGGCAGGTTTGGTCGGCTGCAGATATTTTACAGCACCTCTGAGACGGATGTCGTGGCTGTGGCCATTGAGCAAGGCCAGGACATCCTGGCCTGGTACGAGCCTCCTGTACAAGGAATTCCCGACCAACCATCCCAGACCAGAGTGAACGTGTCGGCAGCAAGTGACCCGCTGTATGCCTGTGCAACTCAGTGCCTAAAAGAACAAGCGTGTTCAGCCTTTACATTTTCCAGTGCCTCAGAGATTCCTCTCTGCCTTTGGCTGACAGCGGAGGTCAGTCCATTAACTAACGCTTCAGGATTCTGGACCTACAAGAAAAACATCACCAGTGCATCCGTTCTCTTCAGCACACAAGCCATTGCTGGCAGTGATTATGAACCCGTTACAAGGGAGTGGGCCATAATGGAGGAAGGGGAAGAATTTGCAAATCTCACGGTTACCATACTCCCTGACAGTCTGCCAGAGCTGGACGAGAGATTCACTATATCCCTTTTGAAAGTTGAACTAATGAACATCTCAGCCAGCTTAAAAAATCAACCAGCTGTGGGACAGCCAAATACTTCCACAGTTGTCATAATGATGAATGGAGATGCATTTGGAGTATTTAAAATCTACAGCGTAAGTCCCAATGCAACAGAGAAAGGTCTGTATGTTGAGGTAGAGGAACGTCCTCAGACCAGCGTGCAGCTGATGGTGCACAGGACAGAAGGCAGCCTGGGACAGGTGACGGTGGAGTGGCGTGTGGTCGGTGGAACTGCTACCCCAGACGTGGATTTTGTGGGTGTTGGTGAGATTCTGGTGTTTGCTGAAGGTGAGGCAAGGTTTTGTACTCGCTTCTGTTCTATAAAACTAAAGAAAAGCAAAAAACCCTGAAAAGTGTTCAGCTGTCTGGATGTTTTGACAAGTGATGTCTTATTCTTAGGCTAAACCTCCCTGAGTGCTCTGGATACAAAAAGAATATAGTTCCTTAGCCTATAGCATTATGTTGTGGAGCACACACAGTGGTAGCTAAAAAAAAAACCATTAGCATAATTATCTGAATTTTTAAAAGAAATATTGCATTGTGCATTACAAAGATCACCTTTTTATCAAATAAATAAGGTATAATAGTGCTGAAGATAGTTATATCAGGAAAAATGAAAATGAGAACTGGGCCTAACTGGTCTTTTGTTAACCTTAAGTCAGTACAGTACTGATTTTTCATTATATCTGTTTTTAGATTCTGAGATTGTATTGATCTCATAACATAACATAACATAGCAGCATTTTAAAAAAAAAATTGGAAGCAGGATGAAGTAGTCCATGGCAGACACTATTTAAGTGCCATGCAACTTGATAGATATATTTTATATTTTCAACGTCTGAGTTGGTTGAACAGTTATTTTGAAAGCAATCTGTGGGAATGTAGTAAAGATTCTAGTGTGTTGGGGAGTTTGCTAAATCATCTGAACTCAAAAGAAGGGCTGCCAGCAGATTCAGAGGCTGACATGTAATTACATTAGTGGTTATGAGTTTAGTAAAAGCTGTTTTCAATATATTGTCAGTGACAATGTAGCAAGAAATAAATGTATCTTTTAAACTGATATTCTCATAGTCATAAAACACAGGTTATGTGCATGCACTGGGTAACAGGGTTGTGTTGTAACTTGTAACAAATTAGTGAGACAGGAAATTGGTTGTGTTTGCTGTTTACATTACAATTCTGTGATAGTCCAGAAGACAAGTAACCAACACAATGACAGCCCATTTTAACGCATTCCCCGGCCCAGTGAATGTATTCAAATTGAGCATACATACTTGTGTTCATCAGAGAACCTATGCACATGGTAATTTTTTTAGAAGAATGCTATTCCCCTTTTCTAAGTTATGTTTGACAGTCAGAAAAGTTAACATGCAAATAAAGAATCCTAGACATTCAGAAATTATGCCTACGTTGTTAATTTTTACATAGCATATTTAATAATTGGGTAATTACATTGCCCTATTGTAACTTTTCCACAGCAGTTGAATAAAACTTCATAATGACATTTAGTAACTTCTGGACAGGTGAATAAATAAATATGCCTCGTGTAGTTTTTTAATATTTCGTACAAAAGAAGATTATTAAGTCCTTTAAGAAGGTGATTTCCATGTGCACATGTGAGTATGTGTCTGTTCTTCTTCTAGGGGAGACGAAGAAGACGGTCACTCTGACTGTTTTGGATGATCCAGAGCCGGAGGATAGCGAAAGTATCATAATCAGCCTGGTCCATACTGACGGAGGGAGCCGGATTCTGCCCAGTTTCGACACCGTCACAGTGGTTATTCTGGCAAGTGACAACGTGGCAGGAATTATTGGCTTCCACACAGCCTCAAGATCGGTCATCGGTCGTGAAGGTGGGTTCTTTGCACGGCCACGCTCGGTTTGTTTAACGCCAGCCTCCATCTCCGTGCTTTCTGCTGGTAATGGCGCACAGGGATCGCTTGTATCACTGTTCAGGGAACGCCTGCAAGCAGAGAATAACCACATCCTTGGCATGGTTTTCTTTGAATATTCAGTTCCTGCAAGCATAGCACTTAAATGGAATCTATGGAAAGGATGAGTACACCTTTTCTAAAACCTATGTATCATCATCATCATCTGTGCTTTCCTTTTTTCTGAAGATCACACTCCCTATTGGTATTGTGTTTCAAAGCTCCTTTTAGCATTCCTTGTCTTATTCATTTATACCATATTCCAGAACTGTACGTAACTCCCATCATACACGCCTATGAGTAAAATCTCATCTATCAGTGACTAACAATTCTCTTAATTTCTTCTAGAAAATCTTCCCACAGAAATATTATGATCACATCTTCCCTCAATAACTTGCTATTTTACATTTTTCTGTGTGTTTCTTTTTTATGGTAGCTAACCTAGGAACATAGCAAACTTGCTGCCGTCAGTCAGTTATGACATTTGAGAAATAATAATAATTTGATATGGACCAAAGGTTTTCAGTAGAGCTTTAAAAGAGCATGTTATGTGCTTGATCTGAGGTTTGATGCAGTTTTGCATAGGACAGTAACAGTACTAATGAATGTACCATGGTACAAATGTGAAATGGTGATTGTTTTTGGCAGCCTTTTCTGGAATCTCAGTGTGTTGCAGCATCATATTTCTCATAAGCATGGAATGTTAACAAAACAGAAATTTGATGTCCAGGAATGTGTGTGCTGCATTTTTTGTCTGAAGAAAAAAGTCTTTCTCAGCCAAATACGCTCTGTATTTTTCTAGAAATGAAAGGGCATCATAACCTTTTGTTTTCATCTAGATAAGGTTTGTGTTAATTCCATGCTAGCGTGTGCCCAGTTTTTGTCCTTTATTCCTCCACATCAGTGGTTCTGATCTGCCTGCCAAGCCAGCTGCAATCTGGCAGGCAAAGAAAAGCTGTTAATGAGCACAAGGAATTAACACACTCTGTCTCATTCCCAAAGGTTACAATGACCCTGAATACTTTCTACTGGTTAAATATTATTCATAGCATGCTAGCAAAATTGGTGGCCATGTGGAGCTAAAATACTCAGTTATAGTTTGGAGATTACTTGATTCCAATTCCTCCATATTGTGAAAAATATTACATTATCTTACAAAAACCAACCAAACTAATTTCCTTTGATAAAAAAAAAAACAAAAGAATGAGTTAGGTTTTAGATGATTGCAGTGTTTGTATCTCATTTTCAGTATCAAGTCTTTTTGTTCTGAAAACAAAATTTATCAGACATAAATCCAAATCTTATTATCTTTTATGTTTATTGTACTATTGAACAGCTTTTGTCAAGGAAATTTGTATGTTTTCAAGCTATGCCTATTATATAAAACTTCGTTGAGGGCAAGGGTAGGATTTTAGTACAGGCAGAGGCATGCAACAGTTGTGTGGCTGTGAGTGTATTACAGGAAAATGCACTGCAGTGTCTTGAAATGAGGGAAAGAAGGAGGAGAGCTGAGGCATCCTTCTTCTCCCTGATAAATGTAGAAATCTAAACATATGGATAACATGGTTAAATATTAAAAAACTTTAAAAAAAAGTAAAATTAACCTTATAACACTTTCAATCTTCAGAAATCAATTAGTACTTGTATTAGTATTTCTTTCTGGATACCAAAGTTTTTGGTAAAGCTGACGACGAAAAACAGGTCAGTAATTAACTACTTGGGGTCTGTAATTATGATGAGTTGTATCTACTTCAGGTGTTTTCTTACTCTTTGTGTTACAGGGTTCTGCATCATATGGCATGTTACACAGTCTTCAGTGAAAATCCATTGTGTTCCATAATGCTGTATTGAAATAAGCTTTGCCTAAATTGGGCATTCTGCAATAGTCCTAAAAAAAACAAGTGTCTGTTAAATATTTATTTTCTTGCAGTGGATGTGGAAAATTCTCAAGTAAGATAGAATGGATTTTAGTGCAGTGTTGAAAGATAGATAAATAAGCTTCTGGGGAACCTGTAAACTGGGAGTCTGTCCTCAGAATCCTTGTGATGTCAGTAAATTTTGAATATTTTTATTCTCTTAGAAGCAAGATGGAAAAACCTAAGACAAAGATATGAACATCAGTACATCTCCAGAGCTTAATTGAAGTTTGAAATGTTGAGGCTGAATAACGCATACTAATTCTATTTGTTTGAAAATGGAAGTATTTGATTCTTGTATTACTTCTTCACAGTTTTTTATTTTAATTGTTTATATTAAGCTCATTTGAAGTTTGTTATTCACGTCTCTCTCATTGGTAGCCAGTGTACATACATTTTTCTAATATTTCCTTACCCAAAAAAAGAACATGTCTAGAAAATGTTCAAATTGTTCCCAACAGTTTTGGCTGTACAATACTGTCCTGCAACATAATATACTAGAACACCCAGGTAGCATTCCAGCTTGATGCTCCCTAAACTACATAATCAGAGAGACTATCTGGGCTGCTCAGTTCTTTATGCCATGGAGTAAGAAGCCACATAATACCACATCTTCACTTTCACAGATGTATCTCAGCAGTTCTCAACAGTCTTGCTTCTAAGTGTGTACACCACAAAAATTAGAAGATGGAATTATTCCCAGATTTTGCAACAGTGAAAAAAATTGAAGTCAGTTTTTAGCAACACTAAGAAAGGCTTTCTCGAGCAGTTGGGAATGGAACTAAGTCTTTCAGATTTTAATTTCTCTATCAGTAAAATAAATTGACTAATTTTTCTTTAGTTTTCTTCATTCTCTAGTAAGCAAAAGAAGTCTCATGTATTTCTAGATATCTCAGTAATATAGATTTCTGCTTATTTCATGCCTTTGAAAACCAATGCAACACTGCACATACTGGCAGACTTAAATTCTGCTCACTTGAAAAGGGTTGTTGGCATACGGATGCCATATACATACACATTATAATCAAGCATCTGTCCTCTAATGTGAATGCATTGCATAATACTACTGATTTTACCTGCTGATCTATTTCATATTGAAATAACATGTTAATTTCACATGTCCATATTTAGATATGTAATATTCTATAAGTGTATAACTTCTATAAATTTCTATAAAGTTTTAATATTATATAAATGGTACAAATTTTCTTAATTTCACAAACGTTTCTAAAGGATTGACTCTTCTTAATTAAGGTGCCCATTGGGTTAAATATTATAAATGTGAAAAATACCTTAATCACTTCTTATAGATGCACATTGTGTGTTGATACTGGTTATTCCATAAATTATAAGCAATTATTAAAAAATTAAATTATAACACTTTAACTGTGATGCATCTTTTTGACTTCTCATTTTTATCATTGATATGTAGGAGAGGAAAACCCAAAACTTTGCATCTTATCCTTTGTTCCTAGGAGAAAAACTACAGTTCCATGTTGTGAGAACTGCCCCAGGACTGGGAAATGTTACTGTTGAATGGAAGATAGTCGGCCATAATGTAAAACAGAATTTTGAAAACTATTCTGGAGTACTCTTTTTTCCTGAGGTGAGTCCGAAAGCAAAGCTAATGGCTACAGGAGAACACTGTAATTAGAGCTGAGCTGAGAAAATGAGTGTGACTTCATAGCAGTCTGTATTTCTTCATCTCTTTACCTGCTCCTTTATTCTTGGAGTTCTAAACTGCAGAGAGGTTATAATTTTTTATAATTTAAATTTATATTTCTTAAAAGTGATGTGCAAAATACATATGATACAGTTGTACCCCTTGTATTTTATGCAATAATGACTGATCAATTTATCGATCAAATAAACAGGAGACATTGAATACAACATTGTGTGTTCACTTGCTGGATGACCACATTCCTGAAGAAAAAGAAGAATACCAGATCGTCCTATACAACATCCAAACAGAAGGTAATGCAGAACCATATTTTCACGTGTATTGATCCATTTGGGCAGTGTAGGACTAAGCGTCCTGCAACTGCTGTAAGCTGTGCAAAGTTCACTCCCATCTGATTGAAACAGGCTTAGTTCTTAACTGTGTATATTAAATATATAAACCTCACAGTATCTTTGCAGTTTTTCTTAATTGGTTTTAAAGCTGATTTAGCTTTGCCTGTTTAATTCAGTGGTTATTTGCTTCCTTTAAATGAATACTGATGTCTTCTACAGTTGCCATGAAATAAGTGGATACTTTGATCTTTTAAAGAAGCCTTGTCATGCCACAAGCTGACTTTCTGATCTGTCTCTGAATTCAAAGTGGTCGGAATATTTTATTCTTGCCACTCAAGTTACAATGAGAAAAGTATGAAACTGCATCCCTTCTGAAATAAACTTTGTTAGGCTGAAATTAACGTCTAAACACAGAACTAATTGACATGGACTGTGTTGCTGCTAGGTGCCTTACCAGCTATACAGAATCATTTGTTTGTCCTTGTAATCCATCACAATAAGCATAAATTAATACAGCAACAATTATCCATCAAGGCAGCACTTGGAAAAGGGAGTAATTTCTTAATGGAATTATTGAGAAGTTGAATATAATTTTAATTTTTTGAGTTAATTCCTGGGAAAACTTTCTCTCTTTCTTTTTATGATAGAAGAAGTTTAGGAAAGTTATATATTTGACACTAGCCCATTCAGTTTTCTCAATTCCTAATTTGTTTTTGTGACTCTATACTTAATATGCACACTATTTCTGTTGTGATTATATGTTCCTGTAATTATTATAGAATGTAAATACTTATACATTCCACACTATCCATAAACTTCAGTGAGCACATCATGTGTTTGGTTTGATTTCATTTGCACTGTTGCTGTCATTTGGAAGTAATAATAGCAGCAATATAGGACCAAAAAAACCAGTTGCTTAACAGTTTATTCACTGTAGTTCATTGATTCTTTTGCAGGAGTTCCTTCTTCAGGTGCTGCTGTTTTGGATAGTCAAGGATATGAAGCTGTCCTCACAGTAGAAGCTAGTGATGAACCACATGGAGTCTTGAATTTTGCTTCCCCATCCAGGGTAGTTTTAATTCCAGAGGAAAACAAAACAGTTCACCTTTTTATTAACAGAGAATTTGGAGCTCTAGGTTTGTATAACTCCACGAGAAAGGAAGTTCTGTTTTGGTAATCATTAAGGAAATGAAAGCCATGACAGGGAGGTTGGAAATTTTGAAAAATCTTGGTTGATATTTTCAGAATTTCTAGGCTTCTTACTGCAGGCTTGGAAACTAAGTTTTAGTTAAAACTGGAGCCATAGACCTCATTTCCACAGTGAGGAGTATGGGAGCTGTGACATAACTGGTTGGCTATTAGAGTTACTACCTTTATGTCTTACGAATCTATCTCAAAGTGTTAGTCTCTCCAGAAGAAATTAAAAACTTATGAAAAAAAGGAGCTTGTATGGAATGATCGTTCCAGCACATATTCCCCTCTAAACATTCAGAAATTGGAAGCTTAGGAGTGTCCCACGGAAAAAGTTATATTTGGACCACTAAATTTAGTTTATGTGTCCCCTGAGAATGTCTTATTTCTTTGTAAATCAACTTGTATTTTCACACCCATAAAATCAAGTGGTACTTTATTCCAGAATTCAATAACATGCTGTGTGCAAAAATATTTTCTTGTGTTTGTTACCTGAGAATTTCAACTTATATTGTGAGATAACGTGTGTAATCATTTCCTATTTACCTTTTTTGACTAGACCTCAGTAATGATCCCTCTTGGTTTCTTTTGCTGTATCTGTTTTGAAGTGAAGTGACCAATTACAACAAATATTCAAGATCTGGACACACCACAGATTTGTAGGGGCCTTTTAATGACATTTCTATGTTTTCCCAATTCTTGTTTTAATATCAATATCTAGTTACTTTTTTTGAACACTACTCAGGAAGCCAATGCTTTAATATAAGTAACCACAGTAAATGTAAGATCTCTTGCTTTTAATTAATAATTTAATTAATATAAAAAAGTATTTATTTAAACTAAGATTCTTTTATGCTATATATTGTATTTCATACAGAGTAAATTTGAATTTCATCTGTCATTTTGTCTCCAAGATCAGTCTTTTTAAATTCGCAACTTGACTTACCCTGACAGATTAGTGAGACATGGCTTTATTATTAAAAATAATATATCCAACTTTTTCCCTTGGTACCATTTATCAGTCTGTCCCCTAAGCTTTATTCCTTATTGAAGTCTGTGTCAATCTGCCTTGACAAAACCCTATATTTATTAAGCTGTATTCCCATCACTGTCTTTAGAAGCTTTCTTAGTTATCAGTCATCCCTGAAACATTCTACTTCTCTTGTCACCAAACCTGATATTAATAATACATTAGGTGTCCCAGGTAGTACTTCAGCAGTGTAATATTTGCAGTCCACAGCACTTCAGATATCTGAATGCTTTTGGTCCTAACACTTTTTGAGACCAGTGATGTTGGAAGAACTACCAAAAGCTGGACTGACAGTACATTAAAAACAAAAATAAAGTTCCACTGGCTCCAGATTAATCTTTTAATCTTTCTGTTTTGCAGTTGGGCTCTTCAGTTTGTGGATGAGCATTTGATCTTTTTTCTTTGCCTGTTCGAGTGAGGATCACGTAAGAATTGAAAAAGAAATACTCATTTTTGTCTCAAATTGGACAGGTGCTATCAATGTTACGTACGCCACAGTTCCAGGGCTGCTCACCTTAAGTAATCAGACAGAAGGGACCTTGGCTGAACCAGGAGCTGATTATATAGCTGTTACTGGATCAATGATTTTGGAAGAAGGAGAAACAGCAGCTGCCATAAATATTACAATTCTAGAGGTAAACTCTAAACCCTTTCATTCTATAGTGATCTGTATGACATCAGAAGGGGAGTATTTTGGAACTTAAAGATTATAACCTATATATTATTTGAAGCTTTATATTTTATTGTCATTTAGAAAGACTTTTTTAATCTCAGTGTTAAAATCACAGAAGGACAAATAATACCAGAAAGTATCTCTCCCTATGCATAAATGAAATTTAGCTATTTCATTAATACTTTACTATCATCTATTATTTAGAACAGCGTAATTCATTGCTTGCCACCTTCTCAGTGGTTGGAGTTTATGCCTTTAAAATTGGACAGGAATTTAGTAGCAAGAACAGTTTAGTGTCACTGCAGAGTCTTTTTCATGAAATATGATGTCTTACTTCATAACTCATTCAAGAAGATCAATTTTACACCAAATAACAGTATTTCAAGAAAATAGAAAAATAAATTCATTTTAGTGTCACTATAATATTAGAGACTTCTTGTGTATTGTTTTTGGGTGACTTCTGTGACAACTTCTTAAAGGAAGTGATAAGTGGATTTGTGTTTTGTAGGATGATGAACCAGAAGTGCAAGAATTCTTCTTGGTTAATTTAACTTCAGTGGAACTCATCATGAACCACTCAGCTTCATCCCCACCTAGGCTGGGTAAAACAACTTATACAGAGTTGTCTTTGGTTTTCCTTTTGTATTAGTTGTATGTAGATTATATTACTCTGGCATATTGTCATTATTTCACTACGTTGTCAACTGTGCCAGTATGAGACAGGATATTCTGAAAGAAACTTTGTAGAATATCAAACTTATTCATTATTAAACTTGCTTCTTACTTTTTTGCAAACTGTAAAAATTAAAAGGCAATTTTTATAGAGGGCTTAGTAATTAACAGTTGGAGAGGACAATTATCTGAAAAGTTTTACTGGCACTGTTTTAATCTGATTTTAATTTATAAAGTACATAATGAAAACGAAAGTATGAAAGAAATTACGTGGTTACTTTGTTCACTCTCTTATAGGTCTCTTTTCATTACTATCGCTTCATTACACTCTTATCTATTAGTCTCTATCTTTTAGGAGTCATATCTTACGATTTTCTTACTCTTCCAGAGAACTTAATTTATCATTTGTTTAATTAGCTCCTCATTCTGCCTCTGTATTTAATAGTATAGCAGCCATTGGCTTTAACAGCAGTTGGATTATCCTGTGGTACTATTTGGAAACCAGCTATACTGTTATTTCTAACGCGCTCTTTGACTCTTCCCTTTTCTTTGCATGCCTATAGAAGTGACTGAGTTAATTCGTTACAGACTGAAAGGTAACTTGCAAGACTCACTGTTGATTTGTAGAGACTGAGCTGTGATTAGTTGAGTCTAGAAGCTAAAACATAAAAAGAATAACATAGAAGTGCAAAGGACTTTTCTCAACTACATTGTGCTGGGTGCTGTACAGTCTCACCTTCTGTTGTAAGGGGTACAGTACAATTTATCAGTACAAATTCTGTTATCAGACTGTTTTCTTATCTTGTTTTCCCTGTTGGGGTATTTTGATTTGTTATGATTGACAACAACATTTAACTCCTTGGTGATGCAGTGCATTTGTTTAGGATTTCTAGCAATCCCATACCCTATACAAGGTATTTGAAGTATTTCTAAGAGGTGTTTAATATCAAAAGAGGTGGATATGATTCTGCACATGATACAGGCGTGTATAGTCAATCCTACACATCTGGAATATATTTTGTGTGCTTTTTCTGTCATGGCCTTGTGAGTGCAGTATGTGGAGTAATTCTGGTATATTTGTGATGCAGAGTTAACTGAACTTAAGTGACCTTTATTTCTGATAAGAAGCTTCACTGATAAGGAGCAGAAACAGCAAGCATATAATATCAATATATTAATATTAATGTTATTACTATTAATAGTGATGATGATAATAATAATATAATAATAATAATAAAAGATTGGAAATTATGTACAGCTGAGGATGATAAAAAGAAAAGGAATAAACTTAATGGTTACAAGAAAGAGCTAAGCTGGAAGAGATGGGCAGGGAGCTGCCAGGGAAGGGGAGGGATGCCAGGCTTGATATAAGATGTCTGATATTGAGAGTAAAGTGTTACAGATCCCAGATGAACTGATCTGACTCCAACACAAGGGGAAATACACGGTACTAGTGAAACTGAAATGTCTGTAATTGCTGCCTCTCCCTCTGGATTTCTAAACCTCAGTAACATTTCTGCTGTTTCTCTGGAGGTTTTGCAGCTATTGCTGATCTTCACTCCCTCATAGTGACAGATTTATACTCACGGCAATGACCTTTTATTCATTTTTATCTGAGTTGATAGAAACCTTTTCTGTGGATCTAAATACAGTGTATTTACTGTGGATTCAGTGGAGTTAGTTTTGATGTAGAACTTGTAATCTTTTTTTTTCATTTAAGTCTTACTAAAAGCAATATTAAGGTATCAATATATACAGAATATATTCAGGTAGACACATAGTGCTGTTGTCTGAACAAATAAAGGCACTATTTTCTCGGAAGAATCAAGTTTTGACTGTCAAGTTCAGGTCCCTGAAATTAGTGGACATTTCTAGCATTAACCTGTTATTCAGTATTTTCACAGTGCAATATGTACAACAATTTTTTACAGTTAGTGAGAAGATACATCTGCATTTATAGAGCAATAGTTTGTTACAGTACCTAAACAACCTACAAATAAATTAATGATTCTGTATTTCTAGCAGAATCTGAGTTATGTGCCAGTAAGTTTATGATCAGGCACTGAAAGATGAATAGAAGATTAAAGAAAAAGATGATAATTTATTATTCTTTCTTGTTCATTTTTTGCCCTATATTCAGACTGGCACATTCTGTAAAATGTTGAATGTAATCATAATAAACACACATAATAAAGATAAATTAAGGTTCCATGACAGAGCTTGCTTTTGGTATTTCCTTATTTTTCTGTGCTGTGTTTTGCTTTCTAAATTTTCTTTATTCTTTTTCTCTTTTTTTAATTCTTTTTTGACGCATTATTTAATGTAAATGATAATTCAAGGCACTGCGTGGCAGTTCTAATAGTAAGGTACTAAGGACAGATTTTCTTTGAGCCTTTCCAGTTATCTTGCCCACTACCATTTTCTCCTCCACATTTTGGAAACAGAAAATAATGTATTTCTTCTACAGAATTAGTTGAAATATAAGAAATGCTTCTCTTATTCTTGAAAATCTTGAAAATGGGCTTCATTGTTCTTTCTTTTTTGTCCTCTTGTTTTCCATTTTAGATGTGGAGGGTTTAGCTTCCCAAATTATTATTGATGCTAATGATGGAGTAAGCGGAGTAATTGAATGGGAAAGTACCAGGTAAGTCTTGTGTTCCTTGAAGAACTTATTGTGTCAGTTAGTGATCTGGCTTGCCCAATTATTTTCATTTTCAGTTAACAGTAAAACTCCTGTATTAAAATCAGGGCAAGATCTTTGAAATGGCAAAGCATCATTCAATTCAATAGAGCTGGAAAGTGCAAGAGAATTCCCACACTGAAAGCCAACATTCACAGTATGTTTACTCAGAATTATTTTGCTACCATGCACCTACATTCACTGCTGTCCTTTTATATTGTGAATTGGCACCATTTCCCCAGCCTCCATTCAGTGCCTCTCCCACTGCCTCCACATTGGCATAGGCACTGGCATCGCCAGGAGGTAGGGACTTACGAACATAGAGAGGCTTAATCTGTCACTAATAAGCAAGGAAAAAAGCACAGCCTCGTATAGCCTAATCTATATCCATCTAGATAAGAAACAAAGACTAAAATGTTGTGTTAGACTTTTGTAATGGTGCTGCTTCTGTAATGGTGCCATTTTCTTATGAAGCAGACAGAATGATTTGAAGTGAAAATATGAGACCTATCTGCCATGTTTTTGAAAAGAACATGCATAGTGAGCACTGAGAATTTTTCTGGCTTTTTGTTTTAGTTTTGAAGTTAAGGAATCTCACGGGAATCTGACAGTGGTGGCATACCGAAACAGAGGATCGTATGGCAATGTGTCTGTATTTTTTTATGCCCAAAACTTGGAGGCACAGCTGGGTTTGGATTTTAGCGTTACCTCAAGGGTGAGAAGCAAATTCTAAGTCTTGTACTTTTCTTTCCACTTCCTCAAAAGATTTATCTTATGTTTGTTCTGCAGAATGATCAGTAGTGCAACAGACTTTTTCAACTTAATTGCTTCAGTCATCTGAATAGAATGAGATAAAATAAGTTGTTGTATTTTGTTTCTTTTTAAATACTGAAGTATTTTTAGTTGTAAGTCACATAGTAAACTTTCAATACCATTTTGCTTAGAAAAGAACATGCAGCATTTCATATAAGGTTTCGTATTTCTTTATGACAGAACTTCAAAGTAAATTTCTCTTACTTGTCCTCATTCTGCAATGCGTTGAATTTTTTTACAGCTGTTTCAATGAATTTAAGAGGAACATAGAAATTATGGCTCTTCTGTGCCTCTTCACCTGTTAAGTATTCAATGGTTTTTATGTTTCAATGCTAGACTCTTTTTTTTGCTGATGGAGAAAGGAACAAATCTGTTGTTGTAACGATTTTTGATGATGATATTCCTGAAGGTGATGAGAAGTTCCAGTTAATTTTAACAAATCCCTCTCTGGGGCTGGAATTGGGGGAGAACACAACAGGTAAAACTTAGTTTTGATGTTCCCATTCTTTGGAATTGTTTAATTTAAATTCTTCTGAATAATCATGTTTCATTAAAAAACATTGTTCTGTTGTGCTAGATCTGTAAAACTCCTCCAGAGAATTTTTGAAACATCCTTATAAAAACTACACAATTAACGAGATTTTATGTAAAATGAGTAATCAAAAAGTGTGAAAGTGAGCTTTTTAATAAGTGTTACCACGCTGAACTGAGGTCTTTTTCTAGAAATCTTCCTAGATAAAGTAAAATTCTTACATATTCTCTTCAAGAAATGTCATAGACATAAAAACATTATATATGCACTAAGGGAGGAATGGATTTGTGTTTATATGCATTTTATTTGTATATATGTATTATTGTATTTACTGTGTTAATTAAATAATATTTCCGTTATTTATTCCTCCAAAGCCACAATTACTATACTTGCCAATGACGATGGCCATGGAGTTTTGTCATTCAATAACAGCGATCACTTCTTCCTCAGAGAGCAAACAGCTCTTCATTTAATGGAAAGTGTTGCAGTATTAAATATCATTAGAGAACCCCCTCAGGGGATATTTGGCACCGTGACTGTTCAGTATCTTGTAAGCGAAATTAATTCTTCAGAGCCATCAGTGGATTTGACCCCTTCTCAAGGATTTATTGTGCTGGAAGAGGGAGTCAGATTCAAGGTAATATGATACTTACTACCAAAGAAGTGAAGAAAGCTTTTCTGGCATTGGTAGAAGAACTTCAGAAATGTCAGTGTTTTTCCTTGTATTTATTTATTTTCTTATTTTTTCCCTTCATTCTCAGAGCAAATTGAGTCACAGGAGTGGGAATGCATTAAAAATTAAATGTGCTCTTCTGCAGATATTTCTCTCTTTGTAATGGTTGAGGTAAACTGGAAATGATATAATGGGTATATAATGTTCATGTATACATAAGAACATTTCTTGTGTGTATTCAGCGTGTAGCTGAAACAAACTTTTAAATTAAATGATAATTTGCAATTGTAAATAGTTACAGTTGAAGTAAAAACCCCAATCCATAATTTGAACCTTCAGCTGGTCTGAGCTGAACAATGTGCGCACAAAGTGAACAGCTCTCAGTCTTAGGAACAGAAAATTACTTCTGGGAGTATTAAGCCCACTGCCTCTGCAGTGTCCCCACAAGAATGTCAGCTAGAAAATGAGCTGGTTTGAGTTTGTGATAACTTGACCCTTCTGAAGTTTAATGGCAGTTTGTTTGGATTTTTTGAATTTTATTTTATTTTGTCAGTGAAGCTGAAGTCCACAACAAGTTTGTATACTATGGCTAGTGGGGAAGAATCTGAAACAAACCTTTCTGGAAACACTTTTTCAATTTCTGAACCTTAAATGCATTTGGAACCACGGTGCTGGCCAATGCAGCAGATCTGTGTGTCAAAGACTCTTAAAGCAGACTCTAAATATGGTTTATTGCAGGAGTAAACAGGGATCTAAAGGTCTGCAAGCTCCAGTTTAGTTCCAGATCCATCATTACTAACTTTTATTTTTCTATAGCAAAGCAGTGTGTACCTCTGTAACTTCTGCACATTTGGGTAATTGACAGTGAGCCCCAAATGCCAGTGAAAACACCCACCTCTTTCTAGATAATTCTCTGCTAATTTGAGACACTCTGAGTGAATCCTACTCTGATCCGCAGTGGTGCAGTAGAGGGAAAGAAGTATGAAAAAGAGAGTATTTAAAATATTCCTCTACCCTTTTGTCCTTCTTTCTTCCCGGCACCAGTAATGAAATTACCCTGATTAGTCCTGGAGCTAATTGCAAACTAAAATAAATTAAAACCAACTTGACTGGGCTGTGTTAGGGGACCGGATGGCTGTACAGGGACCATTCATTACCAAGGAATGTATGGAATAAGTAGAGAATTGAATTATGAAAAAAGGATCAAAACCTATTACATTTCAGAGGGTGCTTGGGATGAGAGCAGAAAAGAGGAGAAGGAAACACAAAAACAGTGCAGTGAGAGAATAGAAAGAGTAGCATGGTCTAGTAGGGCTGTGTTTTTATGTTATTATAATATATGTTAGTATATGTTACTGGGTCTCAAGTTCCAACAACTTTCTGTGCTTGTTTTCTTCTCAGACACTGCATATTTCAGCAATACTGGATGAAGAACCAGAAATGGATGAGCACTTTGTTGTCACCCTGTTCAATCCCACTGGAGGGGCTAGATTAGGCACGAGAGTGCAAACTATGATTACAGTATTACAGAACCAGGCTCCACTAGGGCTTTTCAGCATCTATCCAGTTACAAACAGGTACTGAACACTGATTCCCTTGAAAGGGGATTTTTCACATTCAGTAGAGATGGTGTCTCTCTACAATTCCATTTTTGATTAATACCCTTAAAGAAATTCAGCAATCCAGTTGTAAAATATTTGCAATTTTGAAAAGTACACTATGTGTCAAATACTGTTACTGCTATACAAAAGAACAGAAAACCAAAATGGACTATTCATCGTCAGAAATGTCAGTTTCTCTCTGTTTTTTGGGTTTTTTTCCATAAAACAGAACTTAATTAGTCCCTAAACATTCCAGTAATAGTAAACCATGTGAAGAGGCCCAAACCTCAGATCAGTGCCCAGGGAGTCATACATTCTATAATTTATTTCTGATTTTAAACTTGTGTAAAATACACTTTTATTTAGGGCTGTTTTTCAGAAGCAAATGAACCACATGGAATGACATTTTAAAAGATTATTCAGCTTAAACTCTACAGCTGATCTGTTAAATTTCAAGTTTGTTTAAGATTTTGCTAAGATTTTGCCAAGGTCCTGTGGTAAGAAACATTGGACAACCTTGATTAATGTACTTATCAGTCCATCAGATAGCAGAACCAGTTATTAATATTTTCTTTTTCTTTCTGTTGTATAGACTGCACTGGAATTATACTATAAGAATCTTATTTGCATACTGTAAAAATAACACATTCTCTCTTTTATTTTCTGAATTCTTACACTTAGGACAAACTTCCTCATAGTTGAAGAAGCCAGCACTACAGTTTATTTGAAAGTTTCACGGAGCAATGGGCTTAACGTGTCTGTGAGTGTCGAGTGGGAGACGTTGTCGGATACCGCATTTGGCATCAGTACGTCCACTTTATAGAGAGTGTCCACTGCTTTTGTCAGTGTGGAAACATACAGGAGGTGTAACTTTGCAATGTAAATTTACATATTCAGGCTTGATCACATCATTGATTAATATTTTTCTGAGCATGTCAAGGTTCATTGGATAAAAGAGCTTAGCTGCCTAAGAGTCACCTTGTCGTCAGCCACTTCTTCCAGTTTCAATAATCTGTATTGCTCTCCTTGCTGCTAATATGAACATTACTGTCACTAGACTTTTGTTTAATGAAATATCTTTACTACCTGTGACTGGAATTTTCTAACACCGTATAAGAGACATATTTTACATAGACCTGACATAGCCTGAAAAAACAGCACCACAAGTTTTCTATCATGTCTCCCAGTTTGCCTTTAATCCAGCCACTTTAGCCTGGTCCAAGTTAACACTGCTGTTGAAGGAAGCAATCCTTCCAACTCTGCCTACTTGTCCTGATTTCCACGCTGAGCGGTTTTCGTTCCAGTACTGCATGTGTACAGCTGCTCACTGATCAGACTGAAACTATCACGCCAAAAAGAGAAATGCCTGATTTTGGATGAATACCCTGTCTGGCTCAGCAGCTGATCTAACCTATGTGTGAGACTGGCAGTTCAGCTCTTGCAGTTTAGTTCTGGCAGCGCAGTGTTTTTTGGTAAGCCAGTTGAGCGGCTTTGGCAGGTTAAGAATCTTGGTGCTTGTTGTGATGAGGTGGAGAAGGAGGCAAACATAAGATTTGTACTTTGTCACTTTTTTCACTACTATCTAGCTGATTTTCTCACAAACTAAATTCCAAACTGAATCATTCTGAATCAGACTCAAATTGACTATGCATCTTTGATATGGAATTATAATAGATAAAGAATACTTTTATTGCTTAACTCTCATTACATCCCCACTACTGTGACATTTCTGAGCATTTACATACACTTATTCCAGCTATTTAAAGACAACTTCAACATTTCTGATACTAGGTCTGGTTTTGGCCAGTGTACCATTAAAATGGCATTGAAAAAGACCTCAGGAATGAGTTCATAGTAAGCAGTGTTTTCTTTTACTGCATTGCAGGAGGTGGTATCAGTGTCCTGTCTGTCTTGCAAAGTTTTGTGGAAGAGTCAGTGTCTAGCTGGTGCTTCTTTACATCAGGAGAAATCCTCTATGGTGTTCTGCTGCGTGCGCCTCCAGCTGCGTTTTCTACCGTCTACCAGTGGAAAGGAGTTTTTGTTCCTGTCGAGGTAAATGTTTGCTGGCAAACACCAAGCATGATACTGAATAAAGAATTTCAGTCTCAGTTTTACTTTCTTACTCCTTTCTCAGAATTTCAGCCTGTGGGATCCTAAGAGCTGCGTGTCTTTCCAAATCCATGCCTCTCCCTACCTTGTGATTACTCATGGAGGAGGCAGGCAGGGAGCTTCCAACAACACTGTGTATGCATTCATGCCTGGACGCAAACTCTTGAAGGTAAATCTGTTTTGCTTACCAAATCATAGAATGATGGGATTGAAAAGGCCTCGGGAGATCCTCCAGTCAGGCTAGTTTTTATAAAAAAGCACTCTGTGCTCAGTTTGGGGCCCTAACCCTCTGCGTGACTTCAATGACCTAAGTTTGTCATCATTATCTACTGGTTATATATATCTATATGTATATGTATATGTATATGTATATCTATATCTATATCTATATCTATATCTCTATATCTATATCTAATATGTGTGTATGTGTATATATATATATGTAATTTTGCAATTTATATATATATATATATGCGATTTTATGCATTTTAGATATAGTTTTATATGTAAATTTACAATTAAAACAATATGTATAAACCCGAACATGAAGTGTCTTCCAGTCACCATTTTTGTCGTATTTCCCTTGCAGATCCAGACTCTCTCTGTTCTGGACACCAGACAGGTCAAACATTTTGCTGTGGATGGAGAAGACTATTTGATTTTTGTGTCTCACACAAGCAGTGCCAGTTCCATCCAGGTCTGAATACACTTGTCTTTTCTGGCTTTGATGTGGGTAGTTTGCTTAGTTTTGAGTTTGAAATATGAAGGGGTAATAAAAAAACTATTGAGAATGTGTTTCTGAAAAATTACTTGCATTTCTATCATGGATTTATAAGTCTCAAGATTCTAGACTTGTTTAAATGTACCAGCACTCTTTACATTAAATATAATTTATATTTGGTTTGATTTTGTTGCTAGTGTTATTTCTGTTTTGGAATCTAACATTTTAAACACCTATATGAACAGAAATAGCTTCTGACCGTAATAAACCTGTTCATCTGAAGAACAGGCACAGCAGCTTGCAGTAGTGTTGTTACTCACCAGTGTGCTTCTACCTTAATGTAGGGTCCACCTTAGAAATTAGGAATTCAGTTAACTTTAAATTTTTCCAGTTTTTCAGTGTGGCACTTAATTTTTCTCCTCTTGATGTCAATTATAAGAAAAAATTATTTCATATTTCCACAGGTTTTCCAGTGGAATAAAGATATATTTGTGTTGCATCATCAACTTCCACTTTACGGAGCGCTGAACATAGCCTTGTTTCCTAGAGGAGGCATCGTGTACCTATTAGTATCTTTGTCAAACACCAGCCAGAACATGCTCTTGTACCAGTGGGTGAATAATGAGTTTAGGAATCCTCATCAATTGCCAGCCAAAGAAATAAAACATATGGAGGCCTGGATTTCTGGATCTGATGTCTATTTAATTATGGCACAAGGTATTTAGCAGAAGACAAACACTGAGTTTGCTAAGTATATGCTGGCTTGTTTGGTGGCAAAGGCATTTGAGAAAAAGAAGTTCAGATAGGGAGTAAAGTGTTACTGGAGAGTAACGGTTCTCTTATAGGCATTTTGTCAAAGTAATCTGTTTTGTCCCTCACAAAATAAAAGCATTTGATTTGTTCTTAAATATTTATGAAATTAATGAAATATTTTCCCAAGGAGAACATGAAATTATAACATTATTAATCTAGCTGCTGATTGCACCTTATCTAAGCTTTTCTGAGCTTTGTGATATGCAAAGGTCCTCGGTCAGCAAAGTACATGTGTATTTTATTACAAGTATGAAATCTTAGGTATTGCTTTATGACTGCATGCCTATGTCTCTTGAAAAGTTTATGTTGCAGTCTATGGGTTTCTTAGCAATTGGTTGTTGTCTACCAGCAGTCTTAGTGTTCTTATATGTACGTGTGTGCAGAAAAGCCCTTAAATCGTAGAATCTGATAATTGTTACGATTGGAAATGACCTTTAAGATCATTGAGTCCAACTGTTATCTAACTCTACCATGCCCACTTCTAAACCACGTCCCTGAGCACTGTATCTGGATGGCTTTTAAATACACCTAAGGATGGTGATTCACCACTGCCCTGGGCAGCCTGTGACAGTCTTTGAGAACCCTTCCAGTGTTGAAATAATATCAGTGGATTAATCATCCCAGGAAGATCAGTTATACTATGAAGTTACACACCAAATAAAAAGGAAAACATGATCGTTGGTCTCACTTGGTAATTAAAGCTGCCAAACTCTGCCTTTTGAATGGCCGGCAGTGTGCAGTTTAACCAACAGGCAGCAAACTAATGCAAGTTTTGTCATTTTGCTCCTTTGTAGAATCTGGAAATTCTTCTGAAATTTTCATCTGGGAGACAGGGCAGTCAACATTCAGACGTTTTCAGTCTCTTCCAGTCTGCACTGTAAGAAACATCCACGTTTTCATACCTCCTTCAGGTTTAGGTAAGACTTAAATGACAACAGTTGTTCAAATCCTAGTTTATAAAGGTGGAAATATACTAAATATATCATTAAACATTTCTTTTTTTCTCCTGCTTGCTCAACGCAGTTCATATCCTGCTGTCTGGTAAGGACACCACGGCAATGTATTTCTGGGACTCGGAGGGAAACCAGTTCTCTGCGATGCTGGAAGCCCCATGTGCGGATCACATCACTTCAGCGACTGCGAGGTCTCTGAACTCCAGCAAGAGCTTGATTGCTCTGTCCGTAGAGTCCAGCTCCCAGATCTATGAGCTGACCACGATCGCCAACCAGTCAGATTTTATACCTAGGTAGGGTTTCTTGTGTTATATAGCTTCTTCCCAGCTCTTGCATTTATTTTTCCTATGGTACTGGTTTTGTTACTGTGGAGAGCAGTAGACACTTCTTTGTCTGATGTGCTTATTAACACCAAAGAGAACTTTTCACACATAGACTTAAGATAACCTGAAGTGAAACAGCCTTGGAACTGGCTTTAAAACATAGCAAGAAGGGGCTTGTAGTTATGACTTGTTTTCTGAAAGCTTTTGTTTAAGATAAATGAAATCACTTTCATAATTAATTTCAGTTACTCTCTGATCTACTGTAATTTTTTAAAAAAACACAACACACCACAAAACCCAGAACCTTTAAACCTCAATTCCTTCCTCAGGAATATAAACAATCATTTCAGCTCCAAAAATGCTCATTAAATTTACATCAGTGCTTTCAAAATTCATTAATCAGCTACCCTCAGTTTATAATTATTTGATTTGTGTGTTTTTATGCTAGTTCAGGTGAATTGATATTTGAGCCTGGGGACATGGAAGCTGTGATAGCAGTCAATATCCTGGATGACATTATCCCAGAGGAGGAAGAACGCTTCAAAGTGTGGTTAAAAAACCCTAAGGGAGGTGCAGAGATCGGTGCTCATGGTTTTGTTAACATAATTATTCCTTCCAATGACAATGCCTACGGAGTCATTGCATTTGCTCAGGTAAAACTTCTAAGGTAAATCAACAAAACGTGTATAATTTCTGAATAATGGAACACAAACATACTGAAACTGTGACAGGATTGTTTTTCTAAAGTCTTGTAGAAATCTGAGTTAGAAGCTTTTCAACATCCATTTAGCAGTTTGATGTGATTATACAGAATGTAAGGTGATAAAAAAATCAGTTCCACAGCCTGGGCTTATTTTGAGATTTTTATAATCTCCTTACATTTAGATTAACATGTTAGTTTATCAGCTTTGTTTTGCAACAATCTGAAAATTCGGTTTTCAGAGGGTATATATGATATCATCATAACTGGGTGGTTAATCAAGGGAATTAAGTAAATGAACCTGAAGATCCTTTTTACCTGAAAAATATACTGATTGCATTGTATCACAATATGAGCCAGTCTGACAGGAAAGAATACCAGACTGAAGGTATTATTTGGAGTGGTTAATTGTTAAATCATCAAACACTGGAGAAGTCATCCAGACAGGTATACAGTAAATGCACACTGAAGATATAAAACACAAAAGAGTTGTTACTGAAGTGAAACATTGCATCTGGAGTTGTATGAGGAGGGTGAGTAACAGTAAAGTAACAGCAGTAGAAATAAGTCTCTCTTGAAGGTTCCCTTGTTTGCTTCGTATCTGGACATAAAAGACTGCACTTTAGACATAAAAGACTGTTTTTTGTCTTGCATTAAAGAGGCTTGACATTTAAAATTCTTATGTCCATGAAACCTGGGAGTATTGAGTACCTCTGAAAATTAGGACATACAGATTTAAGCAATAAATATGTATTTATTTACTTAATAGTAGATTAACTTACGTCTGATGTCACTGGTCGCCATTGAAGAAACGTTTCTTTAAAAGAAAATAAAGTTACGGTTCTGATAATTTATGTTTTCCAGAGTTCTTTATTTAAGCAAGTTGAAGAAATGGAACAGGACAGCCTAATCACCTTGAATATCGAGCGTTTGATAGGAACATATGGACGAGTTACAGTAGAATGGATGGCTAATGGGAGCATAAGTGATGTATTTCCAGCTTCAGGAATGGTATGTAGTAACATCAGTGGTATTAGGGAGGGGCTGACTGTGTTGTCTCAGAGAATAGGTGCGGATGTGCTGAGGGAGGATAGTACGTGTTAGATCACACCACTTTGCTGTTAATTCCTGCTTCCTGGTCCTGTCCTGTGGTTTTGGCAATTAGCTCTTCTAATATAATTCTGCAGCATCACTCTTGGAGTCTCGTATTGCAGAGATGTCCAGGCACCAGAAACGCATGTCTGTGGTATCCTATTCCCATCTTTGTTTCTTTCTGCTGTCAGATCCAGCTACTGTGTCAAATCATCTGCATAGGTGGGGATCTGTGAGAGTTTGCTTTTCCTGCTGAAAATGTCAATGCAGCCGAGAGCTTCGGTGGAACAGGAGAATGTCAAAAGTCCCAATTTTGTCTGTTTCTGAAACTATTTAGTTTTCCAACCCTGCTAAATACATTATTCCCTGCTAGCCAAAGCTCTAGGTATCCTTTAGGACCGACGGATGCCAGGCTCTTTAAGTCAAGGGCTTCCATCTAGGGGCCACCTGTAGAAGACACAAAGCCTTATTCAGACTATAATGCTGTAGCACCAGGCACAGCTGAGGGAGGAAAGGGTCACAAAACTGTAAAAATAAGCTTTACACCTGGAAATAATGAGTCTGAAGTAAGATAAAAATATTTAGAGAAAAATCAACAGAGGGGAAAACGAAGGGGAAACAAATCATACAAAAATTATTAACATAATCCTTGAGCATTCCACATAAATACTCCATAGTTTCCTTGCATACTTTTGGAGCTATGGTCGAAAAGGTAAAATAAAGGTGTAATGTTGTTCACTGGAAGTTTCTGTTTATGCTTCAATGTAAGTGCAGCCTAAGTGTTTATAGACATATCTTCCTTGTTGGGAAAGACCTAATCAAGTGGCTGGCCCGTTGAATTTAAAAGAAGAATATGTATAGACAAAACATTCCTCAATAATTTAATTGGGAAAAAAATTAGATCAACAAAAGTGTTGACTAAGCATTTTTTTCAATGAACAGTAATGTTGATACGTCTCTGTTCACCATTCTTTTGACATGTTTATATGGTGAGTTGACTGTGGCTGGCTAGCAACCCCTCACACAGTTGTTTTCTTTCCCCAACACGTCAGTGGGACACAGGGAGAAAATAAGGTGGAAAAGCTTGTGGTCAGTTAAGAAAAGTGAAAGCCACACATGAAAGCAAGCAAAAAGAGGAATTTGTTCAGTTCTTGGACCTGTGGGAGCACTGCGTAGCAATAGCCAAAATGTTGCTGTGTTTTTAACACCATTTCAGCCACAAATGCGAAGGACAGCTCTATATGGGCTGCTGTGGGGGAAGTTAACTCCAGAATCTATTTCTAGCTTTGTCACACGTTGCAATTTTTTTTTAATCTGTATTTTACTACATTGCATTTTTTCTCAGTGTGACTATTTTTAACTCTCTGGATCTCATATTTAGTTTTTGTACACTTCCTTAATATTTTTGGGGTTTTTTTGAGTGGTGGTAGTTTTGTTGTTTGGGGTTTTTTATGGATAGAGTTTTATGGAATAAAGTAATTGATATAGCAGCATTGAAAAGAAGTTTGACTTCTTTCCCCCATCTCCTCTAAAACTTTAGATTACATTTGCAGAAGGCCAGGCCCTGTCCACGATCACCCTGACAATTCTTGCAGACAGAGTTGCAGAGCTTTCAGAGACCGTGGAAATCACGCTTGCTCGTGTTACCACTGTGGGCATCCAGGATGCCTCCAAAGGAGCGGTCATCGATCCCAAAAGGGCACGGGCTGTGCTCACCATTTTACCCAGTGACTCCCCACACGGTGTCATTGGGTGGCATATGGAGTCTCTCTTTGTTAAAGTCACAGAGCCAGAAGGTAAGTTTGTTTCTTGGGAAAAAATGTGTTTTTGCAAAGCATTGAAATTGAGCATGTTGAAGCTATGACATTGGTTTTATATATATATGTGTATGTTTGTGCGTTTATATATATGTATGTTTGTGTGTGTATATATATGCATGTATGTTTGTGTGTGTGTATATATATGTATGTTTGTGTATATATATGTATGTTTGTGTATATATATGTGTCTGTATATATGTATGTTTGTGTGTGTATATATAATATGTGTGTATACATATGTATGTTTGTGTGTGTATGTATGTTTGTGTGTGTATGTATGTGTGTGTATATATGTATGTGTGTGTATATATGTGTGTGTGTATATATATGTGTGTGCTTGTGTGTGTGTGTATATGTATGTTTATGTTTATGTTTATGTTTATCTTTATCTTTATCTTTATCTTTATTTACATAAAACATATATAACATCTATAATTATATATTTATTTATAACAGCATTATTCTATAAAGATTTTGTAGCAGATATATCCTTAAAATACATAACTATGCTAATTCATTACATACCTTTTATGCTGTATTTCATGTTGCGTATATCAACATTATCCAATCATTTCTCTTTAGGGGGTGGGTTATTAAAATCTTGTCATCTTGTGTTGCGAATCACTAGTACGTAAAATACTTCTGTTAAGATAAAAAGCTGAACTTGCCCATTTCATATGGGATTAATATACTTTAAAATAATATCTATAGAAAGGCTTTCCTCGTGAATTGGGCCAAAAAGGGAGTTTTTGGCATTTGGCGTTCACCACAGCCTGGTGGTTTTCCAGCAGCTGGCTGGAAGAAAGGTTAAGATGGGCTATCCATACTTTAAAATTGAAGTTTCCTGGCAATTTAATATTCCCTCCATATTAACAAATAAAACTTATAAAAACTACATTATGCATCAGAATATTATTGCAGATAAAGTCCAGTTTTAAAGTGAATTAGTGTTGCCCTTTTATTTTCCACCTGGAAGCATCATGGAGGGATTCTGTTGGTTCCTTACGTGTGCACACACACACATTATAGATGTATATACTTTGATGTTAGGTTTCAAGGCGTGTTCTTAGGTTTCATTTGTTGCACAGTTACTTTTCCAGTCTTTGTTATATTTTTAATGAATTAGTTAACTCTGAAGTAGTACTTAGTTAATGCAAGTAACAGAAAGTAGTCTGAGGTACCATATCTCCAGCATTTTATCAGTCCCATTGCTTCAGTCACAAACCTAGCACCTTTAGCCAAATTCTGTATTTGGTGGTTTATTAGAAAAAAAATTGCAAATCTGTTTTCCCGAAAGGGATCTGAGCCTGGCTGATGGAAGCATACCTCATTTTCTTCAACATTGGCATTAAGGAAATGTAGAATGGGCATCTGTAAAATTTACAGCCAGAGTGACTGCCTCCAGTGCCGCTTTCTGTATTAGAATCCATTATGATCTCCTAGGCCTGTAAAATCCGGGTGAAATAGTGCAATGGGAGTTTTGAGGCAAAGCTGAATAAAAATGGCAGTGTTGAATTAAAAGTTCGTGTAGAAAATATTTTAAACTGTAAATATTCCATGTTTTATTCTTCCTCTAGATGCGGTTTTAAAATGCTTTCCAGATGTACTCACTGTGCTGTGTGTGTTCACACCACTTGTATGTGCTTATTTGCAAAGTCATTAAATTATCCAGATATCGTTGCATTGCTAAGCAAAACTGAAGTGGGCTCTAGCAAACAGCTCCAGTGCAATTAGGTTACCTTGAAAATAAGCAGAGCAAAGGTTAAAACAATCAAGTCTTGATTTCTTTTCCCTTCCATGTTATAGGGCAAGTAAACTCAACTACTCTTACTTTACACATTGTTCGAGAGCAAGGGTTTGTTGGAGAGATCGCAGTTCAGCTCAGCACCGCACCTAACTTGGACCTCCCCCTCTCCAACCAAGCAACAGAGAATGAGGATTATATACTGGAAAAGAAGACAGTCATTATGGCAGAGAACGCTACAATAACTGCTGTCCTAGTCACTATTTTGCCTGTGAGTAGTCGCACAACTGTAGCTAATAATGGTGCTGTTTCTATACCAGAAGGATTTAGCATTCTAGAAATGTCTAAAGTGGGATTCTTGCCTTGTCGGATGGTTCTGTATTAGTAAGATTTGCATCCATCTCTTTCAAAAGAATTCTAGTAGTCATCGCTGCGAATGAACTGAAAAGAACTAGTCTCAAAATTGACATAAAATAATTAGAAAGGAAAAAAATACTTTAAAAATACTTATTCTACTTTATATGCCTCTTAACAGATTTGTTCTGTAGTTCAGTTTTGTTCAATGTAGTTCATGTCCAATGCCAGGACAAGGGGCAATGGTCCCAAGCTGGAGCACAGGAGGTTCAAGCTGAAGATGAGGCCAAAGTTTGTGAGTGTGAGGGTTCTGGAGCATGGCCCAGGCTGCTCAGAGAGGTTGTGGAGTCTCCTTGTGTGGAGACCCCCAAAGCCCTGGTCGTGTTCCTGTGTGACTGCTCTGGTGATCCTGCTCTGGCAGGGGTTGCACTGGGGGAGCTTTCCAGGTCCCTTCCAACTCCTCATATTCTTATAATTCAGGAAAAGTTATTTTTTCACCAAAAATGTGCATAATATTTAAATATATTCAGAATGAAGGTATTGCTTTTCAAGTTCTGGCTTAGTATCTGGAATACAGCCACCTTTCTTACAGAAACAAGTGTCAGCCAGCAGTAATTTTCATCATTCTTACAGATCTGCAGTCTGACTGCCAACCTCACTTTCTAAAACTCAGCACAGGTTCTCTCTTTCACTTTTCATGTGGTGTGAAGCAAGGGATTGGTCACACAGAATTTTTGAACAATAAGCAACCTACAAGTAGCCAGCTTGCCGCCTGTGTTATAACTCACAGTGTTTTACTAGGAATGTGACATTTAAAAATATTTTTACAGGACAATGTTCCAGAGCTACAAGAAGGGTTTGTAATCAATATTACTGATGTGCAACTGGTCGACTCTCGCACCGGAGGTCAGCCAAGTGTAAAGAGGCTTGGGTTGGAAATAGCCGAAATAACAATTGAAGAAAATGATGATGCTAGAGGAATATTTTGTTTCAGTGTTACAAAGGTGAGTAAGTTTGAATGAAAAATATTTAAAGCAGCGTTCCAGCAGGAGAGTCTGTGTTTTCAGACCTCTTTCGGTAGTGTTCTAGTAAGCTTTATGACACTAAACTTTTGTGGATACATAGGCCAGATAGCAGACAGACAATTCCTTCTTCAGAAGTTCTTCACAATCAATATGTGAAATTTATGAGTGATCTGAAAGTGCTAAAACTGTTGTAGTAGGATATTCTGAAAGGGACCTCAGGAGGTCAAGTAATCCAAACTTGCTCAGAGCAACGTCAATGTTAAATTCAGACCCATTTACAAGTGATGGAGCATTTCTTCATTTATTTTCACCTGCAATTCAATATGAAAGAAAAAAAAAGTTTGCTGTGACACTCATCAGTTTCTTGTTGAATTTACAGGATGCAACTGGAGCCGTTGCTGGTTACGAGGTACCCCCACCACAGAATGTGCTGAAACTGCCAGTTGTTCGTCAGGCTGGGAGGTTTGGGTCAGCGACTGTGTACTGGGAAGCCATTCCTTCAACTGCTGGCTTTGAAGACTTCACACCATCATTTGGAAACCTCACATTTGCAGATGGGCAGGTATGCATGTGCTAAAAGTTCAACTGCCTCTTAGTCACCAGTTTAAGAGTTTCTCGTATTTTCTTCCAGCATAACTTTCATGGAAAAAATTTTATTTATGGGCTTGTGTATGTGAAAGATGCTCCTGATTTCAGTTCTTTCACATGGAGAAGCAGGATGTTCATAAGGGTTGTAAGTCTTTGGTACTTCCACATTGAAGACATTATCTCTAATAATAAAGTTGTTACACTGAAAATTTGTATCATAACCTGTCTTCTCTATAAATTCTCAGAATAAACCTGTGTGTTTTGTTAGCTGCTTTCTACATGTGGTTTAAATTTCATGCTGCCCCTGACAGTACTTATTGTACACAAGGGGGCTTGATTTCAAGTGAACAGAACTGCTCTTTGGCAAAGAAAAGAATTTTGGCTAAAGTACAGTATTGGCTGCCTGCACATTCTGTTGAGTACCAAAGCAGAGCAGCCTGCTGGTTTTAACGTAGAAGATTTGTGTTGGTGGTCTTAAAAGTCTTGAAATTTTGTTTTCTTATTATAAATATACAATTATGGTAAGAAATAAACACACCTGAACAACATCTGTTTACATATTATTAGATAAAATGTACCCATATATATATGTTTCAGATTTTTTCAAACAAATCACAGAATATTATGAATGAAACTTCAGTGATTTTCCTTTTTCAACAATTTCTGCAGGCTGCAGGAGAAATAGAAATTACAATCATAGATGACAGCGAAGTTGAGTTGCTTGAGGTATTCAAGGTTGTCCTGGTGAGGGTAACGGGAGGTGCAAGACTTGGGGAGGACACCCTGGTTACTGTTGCTATTCCACCAAATGATTCCCCTGTTGGAGTGTTTGGGTTTGAAGAAAAGAAAGTAAGTTTGATTTCGATTGCACTCTTTTCTGCTACAGTTGAATAGTTGCTAACACATAGCTCATTTCAGTAAACCTTCATTGCAGTGGAAGACATGATTATTTCACTGAAAGACATGTTAGTAATCATCTTCACCTATCTGTGTAGGATGATAATAACAGTGAAAGTGCTGCTGATGTAGATTTCTGCATGACTGAATCAATTTAATTCACTATACCAACAATTCAGGACGTTGCCAGTAGGATTTCTGGTAGTCTGTTGAATAATAAAATGGTTTTGTAATAATGTCTATTACTGAAAATAAAGTTTGAAAAGAAATTATGAATTGTCTCTCATCTTAGTTCTTGTTAGTGAATGGTTCTGCTCTCCATTTTGCTGGTGCAGTGCCTACCTGTGACTCACTGTCTGTAATTGTTTTGAATCATAGGGCATACAGAAATAACACAGGTGACTAATCTTTGCTAGCAGAACTCAACACATCCCTTGCGTCTGTTTTCTTCCTGTTGATTTTCACTCTAGTCCTTGTTTTACGCTGTCATTGATCATGTTTTCTGTTGTTTACCTCAAGCCAGTATCAGTCCCTTTTGCTGCAGCCTTTCCTTCTTCCTCTGTCTCCATCAGGTAACAGTGAAGGAGCCTCAGACAACTGATGACCCTGCTGCAGTTGCACTGCTCACTGTGAGTCGAAGTCAAGGAGGACGAGGAGCAGTGAAAGTCCTATGGATTCTTGAGGAAGCAGCCAGACATGATCTGACTCCTCTGAATGGTACCCTTTACTTCAATGAGGTATTTCTGATGTTGCAATAAATCATTTGCTATTAGATTTATAAGTACTTTCTTCTTCTTATGTGTGTTGGCATGGTTGTTGTTATGTGTTTATAGAATAGGGGGTTATTAAGTATTATAACACTGGAAAAGGGCGGTTTGAACTGGTGAGTTTAGCAGCATGCAGTGTTTTTTCAGACAGAAGAGGAAAGCTGACATGCTCTTTCTAAGGTTGCATAATGTAATCATCAAGAAGATAGGCTCCTCAAATCCTAACTTCTTTTACAGTTAAGAAAGAGGAATAAATATGTACTGAATGTGAAGAATGATTATGGAACAATTATTGCATTGCAGTATCAGACAACTGAAAGAGAAATTTGAGACTGAAAGGGTGAGAAGGATAAATGAATGCTCAAAATTTGCAGATTTTTAAAATTGTAAAATAATAAAGCACCCTAGAGACTTTCAATCTGGATAGTGTTATTTGATTTGTGTTTCATGGCAGTTTAAAACTCTGAATTAGAAGCCGAAATATTGGATATGGTCAAGCTATTGTTGTTATCTTAATAATGGTCTTTTACAGTATGCTCAAAATATTTAATGAAGAAAAGTGTTTTAACATAAAGCATAATCTATTCTGTCTGTATAAGGCTATTTTGCATTAAATAAATAGATACGCCAGTTATTTCTTTTAATCAGCTGGAAAATAGCTTTTTTGGTAGGATCATCAGTATTTGGCAGTTTTGCTATCGTTTTGCTATCCTGTCTCTGCTGATAGGGCTGTACGTTGTTTTTTGCTTCCTGAAGTTCTTACATATGCACACATG